AAGTAATCGCTGTAGATTTTATTAAAGTCTGGCTGAATCAGCAACACCGTCCATGTGAGTTTAACTCGAGGTTAAACCAACATGTTCCTCACACGAGAGAAAGGAAAATCAACTTTTCCTATTTAAGCTTTTTTTGGGGGTGGGGGGTCCAACAGTTAAGTGCATTTTGGATTTAGCCGTTTTAAGCTCTCCGAGCATCTTCCACCGGTTGTTTTGTTTGTGATGGAATGCATGAATGTTTTGTATTGGAATAACAAAAAAACAAAAAAAAAGATGCACAGGGTGACAACTCGGGGGAAATGAGCGGTGAAATTCAATAAAATGTGCAGGGTAACGAGACGGGAGCGAGCGCGACAACTTAATGAGCTGGAGCTGACGGGTCAGAATGGATTCGCCTCCGCGGTGATGGCGGTGAGTGACAATGCAGCGCGCCGGGTGGGGGCATTTTACGTGCGCCATAATGTACCGTCTTGTGCTGCTCAGTCTTCAAGTCCGTCTTTGTCCCTCCGGCATGCTCATCATTAAAATAACGTATTTAGCTGATAGCATCTGCTGAGCGGCTTTGTGTTCGCGCTGTGAATGGCGGCCTTTCATTAGGGAGGGCGCGTGGAAGGATGGAGTGATTTCAAATGAGTTCACAGATTTGGAGATAACCCCACCCAAACTTAAAGCCCTCGGACGCGATTAAAAAAAAAAGCACCACAAGCACACGCACGACCAATCGAAATTCTGTCACGGTTGAACAACACTAATCGCAGACCATCTTGTTTTTCTGATTCCAGAGCTTTTACTCTTTGCCGGCTGCCCAATAAATCCTGAAAGGCCTCACTATCTATCATAAGAACGTGCAGAAAAGAATGTCTCCTTCGCCGTGTCTATAAATCTGGGCTTGAATCCACTTGATCTGGACGAACACGTCAAGAGGGTGAACCGGGTGTTTGAAATGAGGGTGAATGACCTTAAGACCCTCGGGGAAGCTTCACCTCCAGCTGACCTTTGGCGCGACCCATACACACACTGCCACCTCTTCTCCATCTGCCACATTGACGTTTCTACAAGAGCTTTTGTTTGTCTCCAAAGACCTGCTGCTTATTGCTCCTCCAGAACATGGAACAAGCTGCTGGAGTGACGATCTGGACTTACTTCTGCTGGATTTCACTCTCCCAAATGTCCATTACACTGAAACGTTTTTTATTCCCAGCGTTCGTTGGGGGCAACGGCGCTGCCCATTTGAAACCCCGCCCTGCACTCAAACGTCTCAGCTTTCATCCTCAGACCCGCTTTTAACTTCAGAGACTGGCTAGCTGCCCTTAACATCAGCTATTCAACCACCTGAACGGTGTCCAATGCCGTCAGCCTTCCAAGCGTCCGATTTCTCTCCTCCGGTGTGAAATCCCCAACAGCTACAGTGCGGCTCGGTAGCCAACGCCGCTCCCAAAACGATATATTATCCCGATAACCTCTCCTCCCTCCAACAAATCCATTAGTCCAGGATCCGCTCGCAGGCCTCTCCTCCCTGCAGCTGTCGCTCGCCCCGATGCAACTGCTCCATCCCCAAAATCAGAGTCTCCAGGCCCAGTTGTCTAATGCCGATGTGAGCCAAATATCCGCATACCCTGCAGGCCGGTTTTTGTGTTATACATTTCGATGTTGCCTTTTGAACCCCCCCCCCAAGTATTCAACGTTAGCTACGGCCCGTTGCATTGTGCATTGACCAACAGCTTAAGACAACCTCATATTTTGCACATTCATTTGTAATCTCGCTCACAATTTATCTTGTGACGTGTGGAAGTTTCATGTCGGCCCCACCTTGAATTTTGGGAACTTGGGTTGGTTTTCCAACCATAACGTTTTCTAGGTTTGTTAAAGTGTTGAACAAACTCTTCCCCAGAACTGCCAGTAGATCCACAACTAAAAAAAATCAGCGCATCGCACACTGAACTGCAGCGAAAGCGTTTCCATCTGCTCTCCTAAATCCATAACATGCCTCTGATCGAGCCTCGGATCAGACGGACGTGGAATAGACATTTGGCACTTTCGTACATTCTGAGGAAAATGGAAAGCTGCTTTAAAGTGAAGCTGAATTCATGTGGATGGCTGTAATCTTTTGGAAGTGATCTCGCTGATCCCCAAAGGCAGATCCGAGGGGAGTTAAAGCATCGCAACGTCTGTATCTGGAAATCAGAAGCATGATGAACGCAGAACGCTGCTCCGTCTCGAAGCAGAGGTTTTTCACATCGGGGGAACTTGCTTCTGAACAACTCCAACAGGCTCGTAAAACAGTTTCGGGAAAAACCACAGTGGCTGTTTTACGCGTAAGTTTGTTAATTTTATTAGACGGACTAATAAACCCGTGGATCGCGTTCTCTATTAAATCTATCTAGCTGTACGCGTGCAGCAGGACGTGGGAAAGATCCTCACCAGATCCCATTAGCTCCCTTGATGAAGTTAATGCCCTGAGTATAGAACTTTTAATTAGATTAAAGCCCCGCACCAACTGGGGGGGACAGATGGGCTCCTCGCCGGCCGTTTTCTAAGCGTGAAGCACAAATGCTCTTTCTTCCTGAAGACACATGGGAACCATGTTGGTTTTGGAAAACCTATGATCCCTTTTTTTGATTGTCACTGGCTGATTGAATTAAATACCACGTCATCTCACCCTTTTTTTGAATGGATGGCAGCTTACGTTCTCATTAACTTGAGTAACGTGCAGGTCTGGCGCGGTGTTTTCCTTTTTGTAGACAAGCGAATCTTGTTAATTGCCGAGGCCCCAACAGCTATTTCACCTTCACCTCCTCCCCCTCCTGCCTCCCTGGACCAATCTGTGCTGAAGCATTCACGCCGAGTCTGCAGCGCCGATGTCGTCCCGTTATGGAAATAAGCCTCTCAAACACAAGCGTCAACCGGCTGATCGCATTTCCTGGCTGAACAGAAAAGAGCGAAACCGTTAAACTCAGCGCGAGCAGTGACGTTCACTTCGTCAGCGCGACGAATGCGTAACATCTGCAGCGTTAACAAGGGGCAGGTTGTGTGTGTGTGTGTGTGTGTGTGTGAGAAGAGATCGAGCCGGAGAGGAGCGTTGCATGACAGCACCCTCCAACGCCATAAGCCGTTCCACCTGCACGTTGTCTAGCGGAGAAGTTGCGTGACCGCAGCTCACTGTTTCTGGAACGAACCTTTCCGCCTCGCGTCATTTCTTTGTTATTTTTAAGGCTTCACGCTCACTTACAGTAAGTGAGTGGCTCCCTATAATGGATCCTGCTGTCAGACGTTACACCTACTTGTTGGTCAGCGGACTGGACTCCTTCTTCTTCTTCTTCTTCTCCACCGTTGATGAGCGTGCAGTCTGGGGGGCCCAATGACAAACCGGCTATCCTGACATTTTCATTTGAGGGGCGTAAATCAGGCTCCATTGTGAGGGAGAAGGGTAATTATTTCCTCCCGTCTCCCTCCCCCTTTCCTCCCCCATTTCACTCTCTCTGTCCGTCAGACGCCCTCGTCACAGGGAACACTCGCTCCCTTTCATTTCTTTTGGTCGGGCTGCGATTTTAGCAATAAGCTCTTTGACCTCAAAAGTCATAAAGTACTAAACTGTGAGATCCTTCACATCTTGGCTCATGTCTGCAGCGAGGCGACATTCGGCAGCCACACAAATGCATCTATTCATGGAAACGCAAACCGTGCATAGTTTCCCTCTCCGGAGCTCCGCGTGGACGCAGTTAAATCGAATGCACGTTGCGTGTGGCGAACACATCCGAGCCTTTGTTTGGAGTCTCCCGACTCCTTTGGTTTCGGCCTCGTGTTGAAGGTACCGATCTGTCCCGGGACGAGCGCTTGTGTTGGCGTTTTTAAGTCCCCAGCGAGGCCGTTAAAGGTGATGTGTGAAGTGTGTGTGAACTGTTCTTCCTTCTCCGCCGGTTGGAGGGCTCCTGGTTTGAAACGGAGCTTCTCTCCCCAAGCGCATATCGTCATCTTTTTCCTTTTTTTAAATGGCAGACCGCATCGGATGAAAAATGTCCCGTGTTATTACTTCACTTCACTACCTATTATGGTGATGAAATCCATCACTACTGTTGCAACATTACTGGAAGGTGGATAGTTTAATGCACAGAGTGGTGAGGGCAGTTTAGGAAAGAACGCCGAAAAAAACTGAAAACTGTTTTGTGCTTTTTACTTTCCATGTCACTTCATTAAAAGAGCCCTCCACTTATTCACGATTCAGTTTTTTTAAAAAAGAACGTGAATAAGAGTTGTGTTTCCATTCCACACATTCTGTCCTGGCGCCAACGTGCTAGAAGCAGCTAATGTAGCATCGAGGCGCTAGCCTGAAGTGGAGACGATGAGCAGCTCCGCTGACATCCTCATCTTTTTTTGTTTCCTAATTTTTTTGTTGACAGGAATCAAAACTTTTGGAGGAACACAATGTCGCGCTAATGGGGCCCAAACCTCGCCACGGGGAGAGGTCCGTTCCGTTGGCCTTGTACCAGTTGCACCGTGTTAAAGGCTCATTCTTCTTTGTCACGGAAAACACAAATGGTTCTACAAATTTAAGTTAAACTCAAAAGTTTCCAGCACGACACGACACTTGACCTGAAAGTCAGCAACTTCTTACAAGCTGATTCGTAATTCTTGGAAACACCAAAAAAATGTAATATGTCTGATGAAAACAGAAACAAATAGAAAATGTCTGTTTTAATTCACGTCATGGAGGCAGAATGTGATGTTTGTTCTTGTGGCTAAATTGAAAGCAGCTTCGGCCCCAAAATGTGTCCCGACTTATTGGTGCCTCGGCGTCTCACGGTAGGAGGGACGAGTCCGGCACTTCTCCTTAAGCTGTACAGGTTAAAGTTTGCTGTCTGGTTGACAGAGGGAGGGAAGAGGGGAGGAGGAGGAGGAGGAGGAAGGGGGAGGAAGGGGGAGGGGGACTTCAGTGGAGAGTCTGTAATAGGACACCAGCCCTCTCTGTCTTTCTCGCTCTCCTCCCTCTCTCCTCTCCTCCCTCTCTCCTCTCCTCCTCCTCTCTCCTCTCTCCTCTCTCCTGTGCTCTCTCAGTCGAGCTGCTCCGTGAGCTCTTGGATGGAATAGCAGCGTTTGCCCTATTTGGTGAAAACTGGAAGCAAGGTGTGTTTAAGCGGGTCGGAGCGGGGGGAGCTGGGGGGCGATAACTCAGACCTGGGTTGGGCCCCTCCCCCGGTGGAAAGTTCCCCAAAAGGGGGTTCCCGGAGAGGGGGGGGGGGGGGGGTGTCTGGGTCTACCTGCTGTACCGTCACCAGGCTGCAGTGGAGCGGTTCACACAGTGGTAAAGTGGGGGGCATCGGGGGGGGGGGGCAGCAGGCTAACAGGTGCAGAGTCCCACCAGTGAACTCAATCCGTCTTGTTGTCTTCTTGCCTGGTGTGACATCACACTGGCCTGCTTCAGATGTTCTGTCTATTTCAGATGCATTTCCAGGATATGAGTCATGACTTATTCCCGTATTACCCCGAAGCCCTTCGATTTGAAAAGCTTTAAGTCGTTGGTTTCGGCTACTTTTTCTGTATAACTTTCTTTGAGCCAGAAGAGTTTTTTTTAACAAACCTTTTTTCGTAATTATTTATTAAAAAAAAAGTAAAATGCTGCTCACAATATTCCCGTGCTATTCAATCAGTAGTTCCTGCGTTTAAATACCTGCGTTACATCCATGTTCCTCTGCCTGGTAGTCGTGTGCGTGCGAGGAACTGCCGGGCCGTGGCACGGACACACCGGGACACTTGCGAGTTATTTTCCATTTCAATTTCAATTCTGGTTCTCCGGTCAGGGAAAGTAAAAAAAAGAAACAAGAAGAAAATACTAAATAATTGAATCTATCAAATGTAAACCCAGATGGAAGGACTCTCTGCCTCAATTCCTCACAGCTGAAGCATGTGTTTAAAGCATTAGGAGGACCGGATGGGAGCCAAACAACCTCAGACCACGGAAGAAATTGTTCTGGTACAGCCGTGCGTTTCCCTGCTTTCATCAACATTGGTTTTGGTGAAGTGCCTCTGAAATGGTTGAGATGAAAAATTCATTAGGCTGTCAGCCAAGAAGCCCACAATAAACGCAATTATCATTACACCCCGCTGGAAACACAACTCCACTCACTCGGGCCGACCTGCTTCTCGCGGAGACGTTTAATTGCCCTCCCGGAGATTCCCGGCGCACTCGCCACTGGATTCTGCGGACGTCGAAGGGCTCAACATAATGAATTGAGGCATTTATTATTTCTGTTCACGGCAACAGACACTGATGCGCTTTTTATTATGGCGAGGCCCCTCGATCCAGTGAGCTCGCTCGTGTCCTCGTGGTTTGGCGACGATGAGAGGAGGAGGAGGCTGAGGAAGCGTCTGACATCCCAGCAGGTCCTGGCTAAACAAGAGGCATTTGTAAATTGGCCTTTGTTAATTGGTCTGTGACCTCAGCAGGCTCCACCCCCTCACTCCCCCTTACTCCCCCTTACTCCCCCTTACTCCCCCTGCCCTCCTGGACGGAGAAGACTTCATACCAACCTGGAGTCATTTATACAACGAGCCGTCTTGTTGTTTTCTGCCGTCGCCCGAATAAAAATGTAAATGTGTCGTGTTGTTTTCACAATTACAAAATGACTGGAGACAATCCGCCGACATCAGACGTTTTAAAAACACTTTGCACCTAAAACTGACTTCTACTTGAACTCTGTTGAGGGGCAACCAGGCTGTTAATGAAGGACATGAGTCCGAGCCGTCAGCCTGCGGGCAGAACTCCAGCTGAAGCCGGAGGGAGGAGGCAGGGAGGGAGGGGAGGAGGCAGGGAGGGAGGGAGGGAGGGCGCGGTTGGGTGATGCAGCAGTACTAGCGACTCCTCTGCGGTTCTCCGTCGGTTCCCCCTCGTGCGCCTGAGCCGCGCGCCTCGACTTCATTCCCCCGCACACAACCCTGTTGCCCTGTTCGTACATTACACCCCAAACTGAAATGTTCATCGCGATCGCGCGTCTACCAGCTATTCATTTTCCATCCATCAGCCGCGTGCACGCTTGCGTTTTCTTTTTTCTGCAGGTTAAAGGGACGTCGTCTTCTTGGTGCAGTGTGTTTTTAGCAAACAAGGCAGTTTGGGTGCTTAGAAACAGCAGCAGAGCTTTGCATCGCTCTAGTTCGGTACAGTACCTGCCTCTATCAATAATTGAGCTGCTCTTGTCCTCTTATGAAAAGGGAACAAGAGGAGGCCGAGGGGAGAGTTTTTTCCCAGCAGATCTTTTCGAGCAGATTTACCTCATCCATATTTATGAGACACACATCTGCAAGGATACAGTAAGTGATTTAGCTGACATGTTGTGCGCTCAACCACGTCTTCATTCATCCTAGTTTGTGCATCGTGGTTTAGAAGTCAGCATTTCTGGATCCAATCGGATGATTAAACTGGGAAGAATTCCTGTTGGCAACACTTAGAAGCTTCATATATATTTAACACGCATTAGAATATCTTCAGTTTGTGTCATTGGCATTGTGAGCACAGTTTGCCCTCCAGTGACCACCAAGCCAATTAATACAGCCAGTGTGGCAATGCTGAAGCAAGCAACTTTACATTTTTAACTCTTCTCTTCCAAACCCCTCCAACAGGCGGCGGCGAGCAGTCGGGCTTCCTGCAGCCATGGGCAGGCCGGGGGGGTCGGCCAGGCCACCTCCGCTGTTAGCTTCGGCGCTCCTGGCTCTCTCTCTCCTCTCCACGGGGGTCTGCGGCCTCCCGCACCCGCTGCCAAGAGTCTTCCTCTCCTTTGAAGGTAAGAAGAAATAACAAGCACCCCCCTCTCCCCCCCTCCGCCCCCCACACCTCCCTCCCCGCCCCAAAATTAAATTTGTTTGTTCAGCGCGATATGCTTTATTGGCATGCGGATGTAACCGGGTTGCGCTGATGTCATGTGCTCGGTGCGCTAATGCCGAACAAATGGTTGCTAATCAGGGACAGCTCAGGGCCGCGGAATGAAAGGTAACGAGGGTCTTGTGCAACAACGCGGTTGTTTTGGATCAGATTCGTCTTTGTTTTTCAAAGACGCACTTTTACGGCCTTCATTCGTGGACGGCCCCTTGTCCGTCCGTTGACCTGACTTCTGCAGGAGGGGGACCTGCTCGTCAAGCATCCCATGAATCTCTTAAACTTTAATCACCCTCCGTGTTGCGGCCCGGTGGGCATTGCTCATGCCTCTATTTTATTTTTTAAATCTCTTGTTTTATTTAATTTGCTTGACATTTTAATGAATTTTTGATGCACCCTTGAAATGAGAGTGCACCGCAGGGCTAGTTTGCCTTCCTGTGAGTGTGTGTGTGAGAAGGTTTGATCGCCGCTCGCTGCGTCTCGCCGTGGATCGGGCAGCTGAGGCCGTCCGTCAGCCGGCTCGCCGCACGCCGAGTCAATGCCGCCGCACCGAGACGCTCGGGTGTTTAGTTTGTTTGTTGCATTCCTTCTCTCGGGCTGAATTTGCGTCACTCGTGCAACATTTCTTTCCCAAAGTGGTCTCGTTCTTTCCTTCATAGCACTCTCATTCTTTCTCTCGTGTTCCACTGCCAATATCTGAACCAGCTTCCAGCTCTGCTGCGCGTGCTGTTCTTGGTGAAATATCAGGTCGAGGAAAAAAAAACAACCAATCTCTTCCCTTTTGTGTTTTTTTGACCACTCGAGTCACATTACTCACTCGCCTCTCGCACCTCCAGTGTTTCCACATAGCTGGTTTAAAATGTCAGAGGTGGCCACGCTGAAAAAGAGCCAATCCCTGTAATCCTGCAGCGCTCAATTCGTGCTCAGAGCGCGGATTAGATTGTGTTTGTGTCCTCACTCTGGTCGCGTTTGGCCTTCGAGACGCGACCATAAATGGAGAGTTTCGACTTTGCATTTGACTAATTCTTTAAGAGGCTTTGGACTTTCTTCTTAATGTTTCATCCGTATGATGAAGCATGTGTGTGTGTGTGTGTGTTTCCCTGTGCTATAATTACCCAGGGATACATTATGTTGTTTAAAGCTCAGCAGCCGACTTCAGGCGTGAATTTACATTCCAGCTTTGATTCAGCACCTGAGCTTAAAACAACGGGCGGTGGGGGGCTCAAAGTAGATGAACCTTCTTTTTTCGTTTTTTATGAGAAATCATTTTGAGCAAATGCTGATGGGGGTCGTGACTCCCTCCCGGCTACGGGGGTAAGCTCCAGATGTAGGGAGACATCTTTGGAGGGCGTAAAGTTGGAGGCTCCTTTCCTCCCGTAGACAGTGGAAGCTTCACCGTTTGGAGAAATCAGGGAGTTTAGGGCTCCAACTTTAGCAGCCAGACAGATGACTGAAGGGTCAGAGGAGAAGACTGGAGGAGAGGTGTCCCGGAGCGAAAGAAGGTCTGGCACCTGCTGGGTGGCCGAAAGGTTAAGCTGGATTCTTCTGCTCCCCAGACGTGGAGACCTGTTAATGACTGTGAGCAGGAACAAAAAACTAAATCAAGAAAATAAACCAGTGAGCGAGACGTTCAGGTCGCACAGGGATCTGGACCCCTTTGGATGTCCTCCCCCCCCCTCCCCACTTTTCCTCCTCGTGTCACTGCTGAAATCCAATCCAGGGGTGAGGCAGGTTCAGCAGAGTGCCGGCCGCGGACTCGCTTCCTGCTGAGAAGTTGCTGTCTCCGACATTCCTCTCTCCCTCGGCCGGCTTACTCGCGTGTTCCTCGGGGCGAACCGAGCCCGACCACAATTAAAGCCGCATAACAAACAGCGAAAAATGCAGCTAACCCAACTAATAAACCTTCAAGAGGAGATGTTTTCTTTCATGCCTCGGATAATAAACGAAGGCCTCTTCCGTACAGCAGAACTATTTAGGGAAACCCATTGTGATGAAGACGCAGTGATTACTGCTCTCCGTTTGCTTTATTTATCTCCTCTCGGCGGTTATTTTGGCCCGGTTTCACACAAAGGCTTTTGATATCTTCAGAAAAATCCTTTACACGTTTATTATTTTAATATCTGCATGTGGACAGCAAACACGCTGTTAACAAAAGCTGTTGGGGCAAAAGTTCGAAAAAGGCATTTGCCCTTTGGAAACATTAACCCTGATGCACTTTTAATGGTGAGTTTTTATATACCTTCTCTCTTCTTGGTCCGTTTAAAGATGTGGTTGGAGATGCTGCTCACTGGTCCTGCTTCTGTATCCCCGTTGGGTTGGCGTAGTCGAGCGGTGGTCTGGGACTCGATCAGGATCATTTAGCCTCATCAGCAGCCTCACTCTGCGCTGGCACAACTCCAGCGCTCAATAACACTATTAACTCAGAGCCCGTGAACGGTGTTTATTTGAAGGTGAGCCGGCTGGCGCATGCTTTCGTGTGGATGATGTAGATTTCTACCCAGGGACTCGGGGCAGTTTGATTAAGACGAGGACTGAGGTCTAACGAGGCCTCTCACGGGTGTACGAGCCACATGGGCTTCATTTCACGGCAGGAGAACAGAAACCAGGTTTGGAGACCCGCAACCCGGCATCGGATGAACCAGATCCTTCTGCAGATTACTCCTCGTTTCTATCGCGCCTCATTACCGCCTCCTCTCTCCGCCGCCGTATTTCATACAGCTCTGGTGCGGCTCGCCCCCGGTCGGTGGTAGTCGGCCCGTGAGGGGTGTTTACTTGGCGGTGAGGGTTTGCAGAAGCTAGTGGCTCCGTTGCAGAAAGAGGCTGGCTGTGCATTCCTCAGACTTTATTGGATTTTCTGCTGAATCACTGTAAAAGGCTTTGTAATTTTTCTCAGCTTTGCACGTTATGAAGGGAAATCTCCAGGATACGTCGCTAAAGTGGACACCTCAAATACCAGAAGCCAAAATGAGTGTTTTGAGGCTTTCACGAGTCTGAACAGTGCTCTGTTCTCTGAATGCATTCCAGAGAAGATCAGGTCGACACTCCTTTAGCCGCTAAGAAGACTAATATAGACCATATAAATCCAACATGAGTATAATTTGATGCTCACGGCCTTATTTTTACAGAGGTGTAACTGGCTTTACTTACAAGTCAAAAGAATTTTATAAATTTGACTTTTGTAAATTCAAAATCTGGGTTTTTAATATCTTAAAACCAAGTTGTGTTGTTCAGTCGTCTAAGCAAAAAAAATAATTTCATGGTTCAAGGACCCAGTCGAACATCACGCTGTACACTAATTATGGATGAGTACCACACATGACCTCACTTCAAACGATCCAAACTATCCCTCTGACTCTCCCAGGGAGCGTGTGGAAATTCCTTCCACGGCCGGTTAAATGAACATCATGCTCATCCAGACACCAGACTCTGCAGGGTAACGGCATGTGTCGTCTTTTGGGGTCAACGAAAAGTCCAAAAGCCAAAGATCAACGCTGACGAGTAGCCCGAAGCAGGTTCGGGACGTCTACGTCTGTGGCTGAGGGTTTAGTCTTTGCTAACTTGGGACAGCCGCCTGTCTCTGCTTCTGATTAGACCTGAACATTAACATCTCCACTTTCCCTGCAAATAGCTGCAGCTTTAGCGGCGCACGCGTGAGTGTGTTTCCATGCATCTGCGTGCACGTCCCTCGCCCGAATCGCGTCTCTCGCAGCGTGGACGTCTTTTTTCCCCCGTTGAGTGCGTTGACCGCATGTCAGATGTTTGACAGCTCCTCCGTCGGGCCCGTCGGGCCTTTTCTCCGCCCGTCTTCTCTCTCTGTTTAGCCATTCCTGCGTCTGACCTCGCTAGGCCCCTCGAATGTTTTATTATTCCTGCTCCGAAACATGTTGAAAGGTAATCAATGCTAACAAAGACAGTGTCTCTCAAAAGGTCAGCCGAGGTCACCTGGAAAATGCTTGACGGGTGCTTTGGGATTATCCCAAATCAATGACCTATTCTGATTAAAAGTATTCATGCAAATACGTCGTCCTTGTTCAATAACTGCACTTGTATTGAAGCATCGGCTGATGGTTTTTGTGTCTTAAGATAGATGTGTTTTCCATTATTCGGAATATTTTGACTTTAATGGATTTCTTCTTTGAGCACCTGCATCATAAAGTATTAAACAACCTTTTTTTCCAGTGCATTCCTCACTGTAGCCCTGAAGTAAACCTTCGCCTTGTTTTAACACCACAAAAACAACATCTCAACCTCGGCAACGTCAGTCCCTCTCAGCCTTCAAGACGGCAGAGCGGTGTCCCACCTGGTCGAGCTTTTCCTTCTCCCCCCGCTTTCCTTCAGCTGTCCTCCGTGACTAGTAAACACGTCAAACTCTGAGAATCCTCTCACCCGTATCTCCTGCAACCCCCCCCCCCCACCCCCCCAAGCGTCTCTGCCAGAGCTTCCCCGACTGTAAAATCAAAGAGATTTACTGTCTGCTGGCTGGAGGTGAGCGGTAACCAGATGCTCCCGGTGTGGGCAGGTGAGAGTTCATGTCCGACCGGCGGGGCGGCTCGGCGGTTCGGGTTGGGTTTGGGGGGGAGACATGTGAAGGGGAAGCCAGGTGCTAATTGGGGCATCGGGAGCCCGAACTAAGCTGGCGTGACGGACGCGTCGTCATCTCAAGTTTCGTCGCCTAGCGAGAATATTAGCCAACGCCTCAGCAGCTCGTCCCTGCAATGAAACCTGCCGTTGACGTTGGTGCTGGATGACATCGCTCCGCACGAACACGACGCACACTTAGCCAAGGGAGAAAATACGCTCCTGGCTCTCGTGTCACATTTTGGATGCGCCGTCTGCTTTTGGGTCAGGGATGCATGAAGCGCTCAGGCATTCCGGGTCAGCCATATGATTCCCATTAAAACCTCCTGG